ATAACGTATTTTTTAAATAGTTTACTAAAGATTTGTAGTATGTACAGTGTAATAAATAAGTCATGTGTGAAATTCAAGTATTTTCTGAAATGAATTCAGACTTATAATTGGAGCAATTTCAAACAACAACAAAAAAAAGTGTATTCAGTTAACAATCAATTTCTACTAGACTATTGAAGACATAATAAAAGTAAAGTATGCAACTGAAAATAGAAACTTCTAGTAATAAAATACGTTTACTAAATGAATTTCAACTGTTACCATTTTCTTGTAATTTAATATCAAATTTGTTACAAATTTAGCTCAGGACATTTCAATATAATATTAAAACCTTCAGTTTGTAACGTATTTTTTAAATAGTTTATTAAAGATTTGTAGTATGTATAGTGTGATAAATAAGTTATGTGTGAAATTCAAGTATTTTCTGAAATTAATTCAGACTTATAATTGGAGCAATTTCAAACAACAACAAAAGAAAAAGTGTCTTCAGTTAACAATCAATTTCTACTAGACTATTGAAGACATAGTAAAAGTAAAGTATTCAAATGAAATTGGAAACTTCTAGTAACAAAATACGTTTACTAAATTAATGTCAACTCTTACCATTATTTTGTAATTTAGTATCAAAGTTGTTATAGATTTAGCTTAAAGAAATTTCCATGTAATATTAAAACCTTCAGTTTATAACGTATTTTTTAATAGTTTGCTAAAGATTTGTAGTATGTATAGTGAAATAAATAAGTCATGTGTGAAATTCAAGTATTTTATGCCTATTTTGCAATGAATTCCAACTTATAATTGGAGCAATTTCAAAACAACAATAAAAAAAGTGTCTTCAGTTAAAAATCAATTTCTACTAGACTATTGAAGACACAGTAAAAATAAAGTATGCAAATGAAAATAGAAACATCTAGTAATAAAATACATTTACTAAATTAATTTCAACTCTTACCATTTCCTTGTAATTTAGTATCAAAGTTGTTACAACTTTAGCTTAAAGACATTTCCATATAATATTAAAACCTTTAGTTTATAACGTATTTTTTAATAGTTTACTAAAGATTTGTAGTATGTATAGTGAAATAAATAAATCATGTGTGAAATTCAAGTATTTTCTGCCTATTTTTCAATGAATTCAGAATTATAATTGGAGCAATTTCAAACAACAACATAAAAAAAGTGTCTTCAGTTAACACTCAATTTTTATTAGACTATTGGAGACACAATAAAAGTAAAGTATGCAAATGAAATTGGAAACATCTAATAATAAAATACGTTTACTAAATTAATTTCAACTCTTACCATTTCCTTGTAATTTAGTATCAAAGTTGTTACAAATTTAGCTTCAGGAAATTTCCATATAATATTAAAACCTTTAGTTTATAACGTATTTTTTAATAGTTTACTAAAGATTTGTAGTATATATAGTATATTAAATAAGTCATGTGTGGAATTCAAGTATTTTCTGCCTATTTTTCAATGAATTCAGACTTATAATTTGAGCAATTTCAAACAACAACAAAAAAAAGTGTCTTCAGTTAACAATCAATTTCTACTAGACTATTAAAGACATAATAAAAGTAAAGTATGCAAATGAAATTGGAAACTTCTAGTAACAAAATACGTTTACTAAATTAATGTCAACTTTTACCATTTTCTTGTAATTTAGCATCAAAGTTGTTACAACTTTAGCTTCAGGAAATTTCCATATAATATTAAATCATTCAGTTTATAACATATTTTTTTAATAGTTTACTAAAGATTTGTAGTATGTATAGTATATTAAATAAGTCATGTGTGGAATTCAAGTATTTTCTGCCTATTTTTCAATGAATTCAGACTTATAATTGAAGCAATTTCAAACAACAAAAAAAAGTGTCTTCAGTTAACAATCAATTTCTACTAGACTATTAAAGACACAATAAAAGTAAAGTATTCAAATGAAATTAGAAACTTCAGGAATCCAAATAATTTTTTTAAATTAATTTGAACTCTTATGGTTTTCTTGTAATTTAGGTTCTAAATTAGAAATAATTTTAGCTTAAAATTTCTTAAATCTACAAAAAAAGTGTCTTTAGTTTACAAACGAATCCTATTAAACTACATAAAACATAACAAATATATGTTATTCAATTAAAAGTTGAAATTTGTAGAAATAAAATATGTTAATTAAATTAACTTCAACTCTTATAGTTTTCTTGTAAATTCGTTATTTTCTTTGTTTTTTTTTTTTATTAATTTTAACAAATTGAATTCAATCAAACACAACAAAATCTTTATTATCAGTTCACCAAATCCACAAGATTATCTATTTAACGTAATCAAACACTTAATGTTATCAAGGTAAACTTATTAATTCGCATTGTATTATTTTTCAATATTATTTTTTTTATGAGCTTGAGAAAAAAAAAATCATTAAACAATGATCCAATTTTTTTAATTGCTACAGTAGTCTATAACCTTGAGTAAATTTTAGCAATATTTATTGCTTTGTAATCAAATAATTTGTAATTACAAAAAAAAATATACTGTCAAGTGTATGAAATATTTCTAAAATAAGTCCGCAGATTAATATAGATCTGTTGATATCAAATGATGATTACAGTTTCGGTAACCGGATAAGATTATTTTTAGGATTCACTTGATTTCTTTCCATACAAATAAGTTTAATTTTATCATTAATTATTTTAAGATTTAGTTTAATTTAGTCAAAAGATTTCAATAATTTGTATAATAATTGATGAAAATCAGTCATAAAGTTTTAATATTTGAATATTTAGTCTAATTAAGCAAAACATTTTAATGAACGAAAGAACTGGATTGAATCATTATTTTTTAACGATTAGTCAAAAACTCGATCGGTCTGGTATGTTGTTATTGTTATTAGTTCAATTTCGAAACAATCGCACAAATAGTAATAACAAAACAATAGAAAGAAAAAATAAAACAAAATTAAGCATGCGACGCGCATTCGTCATTTGTTTCCATCAAAATATGTAATATATTTGTTTTTTTTTCTATATTCCTTTTCAGCCTTGACGAATATTTTTCGTTTCTACATACCAAAAAAAACACGTGTTACATAAGACGTTGCAGACTTACGTTTATTACTAAAACTATACCATTACATACTTTTTTTCTTGTTTTGTTTTACTGTTAAATCTCGGAACAAGAACATACAATAATAATTAAAAATTGTTCATTGTAATCGTCGCGATTATTATGGCCATTTAATTGTTCACTTGTTCTTTTTTTAGATATTGTTTTTGTTCCGTAATCAACACTATTGCAATTACAGCTACAATTACTTTGACTGTTTTGAACATGAAACAAAGTGTTATCGAAACAATGAAAAAATGGATATGATAATTGCAAATCGATCACGATTTTTGTTTCTCTTAATGTATGTCGAGGTTGTCAACTCTTTGATTTGAAACCATGGAAACAAAATTTCCAAGTTTTGACATTGACAGATGTCAAATATACAGTTTACAGTTTTAAATACTTGTTCAGTTAATGAATCTTAACTGTAAGTTAATTGAAACAAATAAAAAGTAATTTAATCAATTGATTAAGTTTATCGTTTTTGTATTTATTAACTGTATAAATCCGATGAGAAAATGATGAGGTAAAAATAAAAACAAAACTAAAATGTTGACATCTGTCATTGAATTAGTTGATTGCGTGTTTTCATTGAACGATCCAAATCAATGATTATTTTTTTTATACTACGCTTTTATATTTCTAGTCAAGAGCACTCGAAATCAAACAATGATGTAATGATGATTTGATGTAGTAAATTAACGTTAAACCTTGTATAAACCTTTTCTGATTGGATAGTTAAGGAAGATATAAAAAAGAAGGTTACAAATCTGGAATTGGGCATCAGTTAGTAAGGAAGTATCAGGATATGTTAAACTTAGGAACTTAACGACTTAGGGATGTAAAGTATGTATATAAATCTAACTTTTGTAAGGTTATAACCAATTATGCTACAAATAACTGTCATTAACAGATGACAGTTCGATCTGATGACAATCAGCTGGTTTTGTGATAATTGCCACCCCGAACTTGATAAACTCCCCCAGAGATATTGATTGACTCCTAGGTAGGGTAAATTAGTTTAGTTTCGTAACCTTATTGAGCGGTTGGTTTAGGGTAAAGGAAACAAAGATCGTCGTTTCTCAAAACAATGAAAACCCTTGTCGACAAACGAAAGCTCAAGAAGCTGCGCAAGAAACAATCGACGTCGGCCAAAGATGATTCCCCAAGCAAATCTACAAATAAACCTATAAATATTCACATGAGCATTATCAAACAAATATTTATTGAATGAAACCATCAAATCTCAAGATTATGCTTATTCTGACTTACATCAAACGAAAGCAGTGATGAAGATGAGATGAGACAAGGACAAGGCTGACTTAACCATAAACGTAAAGCAATCCACGTCAATGTCAAAAGTAACAATTTTTCAAAAACAATTAGGATCTTGAATAATATAGAATCCTGCGACGGATGAGAATCATTAAGATAAATACATTATCGCGTGTCAATAATAATCATCTTGAAAAGCGCACACGATCCAGATTTTCATATCGGTCAACGTCTAAACTAATTAATTACAAATGTTTGTTTCCATTACGTTGTTGAATAAACTTGTAAATATTTGCTTATCTACCAAAAAAATAAAATCACTACTGCGTAAATATTATTAAGAATAACATTTGTTTATTATTTGTAATATCCGATTATAATTAGAAACCAAAATGTTATGACACTTCAATTGACAAATGAATTTGTTTAATTAATCAAATCTGTCAATTTACTTTGTCCAATTAATTTAGGTTAATTTAAAAAAATAAAAGTGATATAGGTTAACTTCTGTCAGTTAGTGTAATATTTGCTTCCTGATAATCTTAATGAGATCTTTTGTGCAAACGTCAAGTAATCTTATCATAAATAAAACTACTTAAAAACTACCTTTTTTTTTATTAATACTTATGCTTATAAAACTTTATTGCTTTCTAAATAAGTAAACAATTAAGTTTCGGAGAAAAATGTTTTTGTCAAATAAAAATTATACTAGTTAATTTGTTTGAATTAGGATGAACGATAATCTGTGAATTCGGTATAGTAACTACCTATTTTTTTTTATTAACCCTTATGCTCACATATGTAATAAACACGTTACACGGATTTACTGTGAAAAATATTTTTGTCAAATAAAAATGTTCTAGTTAACTTGTTTGAATTAGGATGAATCTATTCTACATCGTGTATTTCGTAAGGCGAATTTAGTATAATTGAATTGTAAAAATCCCACATACCGTGACAAAAATAAATGCAATTTCTATGTAAACTCTTGCGCAACAGTAAAACGCTCGTTAAATCATATAACCAATTTGATGATGCTTTTTATCGTTGCATACGTGCATATTACTGCACACACAATACTAATTTGCTGTATGAAAAGAATTGTGTGCACACAACAAAATTAATTGAAAAATTCAGTTTTTGTCTCAAAAATAACAACAGTTAAATTTAAACTTTTTATCTGTTATTTGCACTTTCAATAAGATCGAAAGTGAAACTGAGATACCTTTTGTGTTCTCTAATAATTATTGCTTTATGTTTTACGTGTAGAAAGCGAAGGATTCTCTCCTTCTCCTTCTCGATGCATCAAGGATTTCCTGTTTAAGGTTCAATAACTCGAGAATCGCGATTGTTTATGCGTAGAAAGATATGCGTACATGCATTAAGTAAATATTTACTCATCGAAGAGTTCATTGGAATTACGTAACTGCATAATGACATTGACAGCTGTCAAAAGATTGATTCACCAAAGTGACGTATTAAATGTCAACGTATTTAGGTTGAAGGTGATTGTGGAAGTTTGTAATTATGCGATGGATAAGGATAATTAGAATGAGGATGACGATGATGATGTTAATTGCAGTGCGTTTCATTAAATAAACATCTTGGAAAGCGTTCTCGTTCTACTTTGCCGTATCGAATTAGATCAACTTCTCAAGAAAATTAATTTTAAATAGTCGTTACCATTGGCAACAACAATTAAATTTTTGTATTTTTTATCCTATTAATTAAACTTAATGATTCTTTTTAAGTGTAACAAGAGATTCAATTGAATATATTTCTTTGTGATTCATATCAGTTAAATATGGAAATTATTTCAATTAATAGAGTGGAGTAAACGAACGCACATGCACTCTGCGGTCTAGACGTGATCCCGATCGAACGAGATACACTGTGAACCCTGATGTTAATTAGATTTTAATTCCGCAACAATAAAATGTACGCGATAAAGTGTCATTAATGGATATCCTCGTACCGATACATCGAAATAGTTCAATGATTTATAACTTTTTCGTATATTACTTTTCCGAAGATCAAATAACCTTGACATTTGAGACCGCGTTTAATGGCTTTATCCATGCATGCATGACCAATGTTGCAATTAAATGGAATATTGCATATGCAAATATTCATTGCAGGTTATTTCCACTAAGTTACATTTACAGTTTTGTCTGTTCTTTTATAACAATTAATCTTAGTTGTATTATAAAATGTATGTGGAATGATGTTGAAGAATATAAATGTTTTGAATTTGGGTCGTAATTTAGTATTATAAATTATTAAAATTTTTCAAGATGTAAAGAAAGTTTGTGGATGAATTGCAAGAAAGTTGTTGTAAATTATTTACAAGCTAAATATAGATGTTGAAGAGAAAGACATAGTATTAAATTTGGAAAATCAGATCATCATCGAACAGCAAAAGATGTAAAGTAATTCCGTCAAGTGTCCGGTTTGATCGTTTGTGAAAGTCTGCGTGTACATAAAATGCATGTACATTCGAACCGTGTCAGTATGTCTTATGAAGTTTCTCCCGAAATTATACACCTATACCTTCTTGTCCTGTTTCTCAATTGTTGTTTGTTTTCTTTGCAGTGGCTGTGACGAAAGATGAAGGGGACATCATCCAGAGGTCGATGGGAGTGTTCGGAAAATGGCACTTCTGGGTCTGCATTGTCATCTTCCTCGTCAAATTCCCGGTGGCCTGGCATCAGCTGAACATCGTCATCGTAGCGCCCACCACGAACTTCGACTGTTCCAATGAAACAATCGACAAATGCTCCTCCGATTGTCCCAGTCATGTTTTCGATAGGTAAAACTATTATCTAAGACACCTTCAACATAATGTTATAAAAATTTGAGAGTTTTCAATAGTTATAATAGCATGATATGTTTGCAGGAGGATCTTCACCGAAACCATAATTACGCAATGGGATTTAGTCTGCGAAGATGCTTACTTAACCAATATAGCGCAGACGATGACGATGCTGGGAATCTTGGTCGGCAATGTCCTCTTCGGATTTTGGTCAGATAGGTAAGATATTTCTAGAAGAAGATAATAAATTTGATTGATTTTTCATAGTAAAACTTAATTGCTTTAACTGTGGTTTTTATTGACTAATTAGAAAAACTGATGAACTGAAAAATTTGATATAATAATGTTTACATATGAAAACGCAATTTCTGTTCTTTAACACTTTATTAAGCAAATAAACGAAGCGTTCAGATTGAACTTATGCGGAGTTTACACGTTTTTTTTAGGAAGAAAGTTTATGCATTTGCATAGAAGAGTTTAGAGAGTATTTTTATAAGAATAATTCACCTTTTGCAGTTGCATTGAAACATTCATTCAACACTTTTAGACTAAAAGTTTACCGAATGCAGTTTGTTCAATTGTATAAAAGCGTTCGGATGACAATTATAAACGAAAAGTTCATCTTTTGTTATTGCATAAAAGCGTCTAGATGGGATTTCTATAAGGAAAGTTCAACTTATGCAGTTGCATACAAATGTTTAGAAAAGTTCAAGTTGTGCATACAAAGTGTTCAGATAATTGCTAATTTTTCTTTTTACGTTTTTACTGCTTATAATTAATTTTATTTCTTGTTACCATGGAACAAGTTGCTAAGTTACAAAGATTATCGCAAGAGCATGTGAATGGAGTTGACCTTGTTTCGTTGCTTGGAAACAGGAAGCTGGGCAATGAGAGTCGTTTAAGATTGGACCGCCCTTTAATGATGTTTCTCTGCTCCTCGCATTGAATTCGTAAACTGGATACAATTCGAAACGCATAAATTGCGTACATGTCAATGACACACACCGTACACATCTCGTTAATGCAGATTGCTTACAATTTGACTGAACGAAGGACTTCAATTGGTATATAACAGAGCATCGGCAAATGGATTGTGTGAAAGGAAACCTTTTCAGTTTCATAATGATGATAATGATGATTAATTATTATTAAAAAAAAAATGTTAATTTAAATGTTATAGAAGAATATTTGAAGATAACTTAACTGAACGAATATTATGTGTTTCGTTTCAGAGCTGGTCGTAGGATGCCCATGGTAATAGCCGTGATAATCCAGGTTGTAACAGGAACTGCATCTGCTTTCGTACCATGGTTCTGGTTCTACTGCGTGCTGCGTTTCGTGGTAGCAGTAGCAACTGGTGGCACAATGATAACGAGTTTCGTGCTGGTCATGGAATTAGTTGGTGAGGCTCGGATGTTCGCAATAGCACTGTAACAAAGAAGTAAACTTGAGTATAAATTTCAGGAACGAAGTGGAGGACAACCGTTGCGACTCTTTACCAGATCCCATTCAATTTGGGTCATCTTCTGCTCGCCGTCTTCGGCTACTGGATTCGCGACTGGCGCTACTTCCAATTGGCCATATCGATTCCCTCCGTCGTCCTGATCTCCTACTACTGGATCCTGCCTGAATCGCCGCGCTGGTTGCTAGCAGTCGGCAAGACGGAGAAAGCTATCAAGATCCTGGAGAAGGCCGCCTATCATAACAAACTCCCGACGGCAGGAATCGAGGAAGACGTCAAATCTTACGCGGAGAAGAAGAGAAATGAACCGAAGGCCGGTGGTAACATCGTCGATCTGTTCAGGACGTCAAACATGAGGATCAAGACGTTAGCAATCTGCTTCAACTGGGCCGTCACCGGTCTTTGCTTCTTCGGGGTGAGCCAGTACATCGGGTTGCTGCAAGTCGGCGATATGTTCGTGAACATCGCCATCTCGGCGGCAATCCAGGTGCCCGGCACTCTGATCTCAATCGTGGCTCTGGAGAAGCTGGGCAGAAAGAAAACGTTGATACTCTCGAATTTGCTCGGCGGTATTCCCATGCTCCTGATACCCGCCTTCCCTGTGAATCATTTCGCTACACCTTACATGGCCGTGGTTGGGATGCTCGGATTATCAATCGTTTTCCCAACGGTCTACATCTACTCCGGCGAGCTCTTCCCGACGGTAGTCAGGAATGTTGGCGTGGGAACGTCCTCGATGTGCGCCAGGATTGGTTCTATCATCGCCCCTTACATAAGCACCCTGAACCTGTACACCGCCGCCTGGGTATCACCCGTCATCTTCGGCATATTGCCCATTCTCTCCGCCGTCGTCAGCTTCTGGTTACCGGAAACCTTGAACTGCAAACTTCCGGACACCATCGAGGAAGCGGAGTCATTAACAAGGGAGAAGAAAGTGCCAGTCCAGAAGGAGACGGAAACGGAGACGAGTAAATAACCAGCAAAAAGCATCTGTGATACTAGATTAGATACTCAATCCCCACACTGTAATTATTAACGCTACTTCTGCAGCGAAATCTACAAACATTTATGTAATTATTAAATTATTTTCACTCTGCGATCATCGTTTTACTCGCCAGACCGGAAACGCCGATCACAATCATCCATTTAAAATTTGAGAGAAAACAATTGAAATTTATAATACACTTCCCACGTCTAATAAGAGAAGTTTGGCAACATTCGTCAAATTTTTTTTCTATAAAACAAATGCAATAATAAATTCAATCCGAAATGTACAAATTGTTGTTTAACAAATGGAATTACTCACGGTTGTATTGGGATTAACATCTCTCATGATTGCACACAAAAATAGATCAATTCACTTGATTCATGTACTTTACTGAACTATTTTGAATATTCAAAAGAAAGGAACGCACGCAACCGCAATGGACGTCAAAAGACAAAAGATCGAAACCCACGCTGACGGTTGAAGAAGCGCTACCAACTGATTTCATTCAAAATCAATGTTTGAAAATGTTCGGTAAATCAATCTTTCCAATTATCAGTCAAGTTTAGTAAAATTCTAAAAAGTTTAATATCTCTATGTAAACTATATATAATAAACAAATTTTTAAGTAATACATAATGTAGGTGTTAGGTAACACCAACCAAATGGAATTAAAAGGCACTAAAGAAAAAACAATAAATTGGATTATTTGATTGTTGATTTATTACAAATCATAGGGCAACGCGAAACGTGCTAATTCCAATCTATAGTTAATAAAATAAAAATTATTCATTAACTTTAAGTCAGAAAGACTATGGTTAATAGTTTTTTGTATGATTTTTTTTAAGTTAAATTAATTAACTTGATTAATTCTTACATGTAACTTTGGTGGCCTATAATACAATAATAAAATTATTAATTAAAAATTTACATAATTTAATATGAATATTATAATCAATCAATTAATCTATTTCCATAATTAAAATTGTTTGAGCATTATTTATTATAATAATATTATAGAAAAAAATTTGTTTTTCAAATCTGAAAATTTCATATAAAAACGAATTGCAATAATGAAATATGTCACGATTTGAAGTATAATTAGCAAAAACAAATGAAAAATCATTACTTAACAAAAAAAAAACTATGACCTACTTTGATGATGAATTATTCAATAATAAAGTAAATCACGTATAATTGCTGTTGTTTTTATTACTTTGAGTATTTATGACAATACTTTGCAATTAGTGAGAGAGAAAATAATAAATAAAAATTGGCATAATTTTCGAATTGAAAATAACATAATAATTAAAATTTAATTTTTTATTTGAAAAATATTGATTGCAAGTAAAGGAAAAGTAACAAACGAAACATGTTTCTTTACGTAGAATTGATAAAGTACAGTCGTTGTTCTCTTGACCTT